TTTGGTTCCATTGCTGATCATTTAGACTGCTGTGCTCCAAGGCTGCTGTTCTTAACTCGATTATGTAATTAGCAAGCAGCATTCTAACGAACCGAATCTTAGGCTGAGCTTCTTTTACATTCAAGACCTCGTTGGAGCAACTTCTTAAAAGAGTGATAAATGGAAACTTTCTGTACCTGACCTCTCATTCATTCTGCAGATTTAATGGCATTCAGTGCTATTCTGCTCACTGCCAGGGCCTTGAAAGGGGAAGAAAAGAATATTTATATTGAGTTATAGATAGATGTAGGAAGAAGAAAAAGATGGGCAGAAAGGGAGACTGTATAGAACAGAGAAGAATTTGAGACCTTCACTGTACACGGATTAATCACAAGGACTAACCACGCAAGTCCAAATGGATATTTAGAAAGCGGTGAAGCCTCTCGGATGTTCTGTGGGAAACACCATACATTTTCTAATGCACGAGTATGTGCAGAATGGTGTGTAATTGATGACAGAAGTATTGACAGAACTTCAGCTGTGGCGTTGCAAATGTGCTCTATAATATATTTACATGTGAAGAACATTTCACATATATGATCACATCTATCCAACATATTTCTTTAGTGGGGCCCAGATTTAATGACTTAAGTGAATGCTTATAATAAGGACCAATAAGCTGCCATTTTGCTAATCTTACCATAGTTCAGCTTTGGGAACTACATTACTGTTAAATTGGTCCATGAAAATCTGGCAATATTAATGCTATCAAGCATGAAAACTAACTGGATTTGGATCAGGGAGCTTTATTTATAGCATTTTAGTGAGGATTTATTAGTTTAAAGAGGAAGTTTGTGCGTCTCTTGGGTTCTTGAATATCAAATAGACTAGGAAGTCCTGTGTTCCCATCTAACAGCAATAACAATAACAAAAATAAAAAATTACATACAATTTTGCATTCATTTCCATGTCCTTATATTAGTCTAAGACTTGGGATACAGTAATAGCAAAACCCAAAAAGTTTCTAACAGTGCCATATAAAAGATTGCTTATGGATGAGCATAGAATTTAGGACACAGCTCACGATTAATTAGAAGAGAATTAAAAGGTGATGCTTTATACTGACATGAGAAAAACTGTCAAACCTTTACAGAATGAATAGGAAAATAGGTATTTATATGTTTTATAAGTTATCTGGTCTTATATTTTGTGGCATTTTTTAAAATATTCAATCTGCTTTCCGTCTTTTTTCATTTCTTGGGTAAAATTGACATTAAGCTCTGTTTTCGTCCCTAAACAGTACCTGCAAGTTCAGGACTAGAATGCTTTGCTGTTTGTTAAAATAGTTACAAGGGGAAACATCATGGCTCATTTTTCTCCTGCTTTATTTGGAATTGAGTTAGTAAATGAAAGTTTCTAGCAGTTTAATTCACTTCTCCATAAAGTTTATGGGGCAGCAACAGCTGGTTGAATTCATGGCAGAAAAAGACAACTTCGAGTGGCCAAGCTATTGTTTCTGAATTAAGGGGGGAAACTCATTAGCTGTTAATGAAAACATGGGGAATAAAAACAAATAGCACAGAAACACTGGGAAAGAATTACCTTACACCTGACACAAAGCTGTTTTATCTTTTGCTCCAACCCCTAGAAATTCCCAACTTATCACTCTACAGAGCATGACTGAAATTGAGTTTGACTCTCAGAAAAGAACAATAGAGAAAATCATCCGCCTTATGGGCCCCTCAGCACAAATACTCAGTGGAGAGCCTGCCATTGAATATACTAAGGAGCATGTGTAGTGCCCAATTCTTATGACAGTTAGGACAGAGGAGCAAATTACCAGCTAATAATAGCAGGTGGACCCATGATATAGCTCCCTTAGATCTTGTTTAGAAATACAAAAAGAAAAAGAAAAAGACTGCAGGTCATGGATGTGATGAATATATATGTGTGTATATGTATATATATATATATATATATGTATGTATAGAGAGAGATTGAGTGAGCAGCAGTGGAGAGTATGTCTCCCGTGGTAGAGGGTCTTTCTTGTGAGAAAGTCACTCTAAGCAGATGGAGTTCAAAGCCCCAATTGCTCAGCTGCTAAATGGAAATGCCTGTCACTATAGCTTGTGATCATCTATGTGTGATCCCACTGGACTACAGTTGTGGTCAGTGACTGTGAGAGCTATAGACCGATCTGGAGAGCATGAGTGGTTATGTTTTAAGGAAAAATGATGCTCTAAACTTAAGCAAATCCAAAATAACCAAAGTAATTGCCAGTTCTTCTATAAAACTTCTCACCCATGCATCCTGAGTAGTTGTAATCATTTTAATTACATTGTGGCATCTACTTATGCAGCGTGATAGGCTAGTTTCTGTGGGAGCCCAAGGGAGTTGGACCACTTTATATGACATTAAAAACACAACAACATCTTCATCATCGGGAACTAATTGTGCTTAAGGGTAAAGCATATCTTTAAAGGTTTTCCTAGCCAGGGCGTGGTGGCGCACGCCTTTAATCCCAGCACTCAGGAGGCAGAGGCAGGTGGATCTCTGTGAGTTCAAGGCCAGCCTGGTCTACATAGTGAGTTCCAGGACAGCTGGGGCTACAGGGAGACCCTGTCTCAAAAAAACAAAAAAAAAAAAAAAAAAAAAGGTTTTCCTTAACCACAGCACTGACCTAGCCTCTGTTTTGCTACCTTGAGTTGTATTCCTTCCTTGCTACATATCAAGACACAGTCGGGTACTGGGCTCAAATTAGTTGTTTAAAAGTTCACCTTGTGAAACTATTCAGAAACCACTGGACTCACACGGAAGTAACTTTACCTCTGAGGTGAATAAATCAAATGCCAAAGCCAGGCAGGTTCTTTGGGCGAGATTTTGGAAAAGGAAGTTATAAATGCGGTATGTGGACTGCATCTTGGAACAGAAATAAAGGAATTAATGGAAAATTTCATGAAGTGCAAATGAAGCCTGAACTTTAGTCAACAGCAATGTACGAATATTAACTTCCTGGTTTGGGCAGATGCACTTTAATTATGGCAGAAGCGACACTGGGGGAAACTGAATATAAGAACCGTGTGCTATCTGGGCTGGAGGGATAGCTCAGCCATTAAAGGCTCAGGCCAACAACCAAATACATAAGAACTGTTTGCTATTTTCATAACACATAAATTTTTTTTAAATTAAAAACTCCATTAAAAACCTAAAACAACAAAACAGAAACTCTCCCTGATCAGCAATTTTTAAAAGATGCTGTACTGTATAGGAATGGGTTCTTTTTCTTTCGTGATAATTTTGTCAAATTTCTGAATCAAGAAGAAAATTGAGTTTTGAATGATAGTTGAGAAATGAAGTTCAGTATATCCTCTAAATGTCCAATTTTGCTTGGGACATAAACTACTTTTTAAAAAGATTTTTTAATTGCCTTAAATAAAACTTCCTTCTACCTTTGCAGCTCACGTTCAGGTTTCCAGCCCGGCAGTTCATTTCCGTCCTTGTTGATAATGTCATTTCAGTGGATTTGCCATGGTGTAATATTTGAGCATTTTAACCCTCTGTCCAGTGTTTGAGATTTTTATTGGCTGGAAACTGCACACTGATGGTTTATGCTTAAAGCTTTGCCTCCTGGTCAGTGAACTAATACAGGAGACTGTTTCTTCTGGCTTTAACTGGTGACTGTTTTGTCAGTTAAATTTTTTTCTACAATAAACTCTACAGTTTATTTTAAGGTCCTCTACCTGCAGGTGTTCGGGGCAGTCATGGGCATCTACCTACCATTGAGCATTCGAAGAGGAGTCTAGATGTAATCTGGTTTATGGAAAGAGAAGGCCACAGCCATTCTCTTTTTATCATTTTATACCCTCTCTATCCTTCTAGTTTAATTGTAGGGAATAAAGCTTTAAAGGGAAGCAATCGAGATTCTATGTAGGTTGTTGGGTTTCACTGCTCCCTGGTTAAAATCTGAGGCCAAAATGCTATAGTGTTTACTGAGATTACCATTGGTGATTTCCTTTGGAAATTAGTATTTGAGATAATATTAAATTCAGTCGAAAATCCCTTTTTCGTGTTTGTGAAATGAACCAAGCAGCTGTCGGCGTCCTTTTATCAGCAGTCCGTACCTCTGTTTAGGGGATTTTAAGGAAACCATTTGCAGGGCTTTCGTTTTCTTGCAGTTTCCAAATGAGCTAACATCTTCCGTCTGAACCTTTTAAAGTACAATAATAGCATTGGCCACTTCTACAGAATACAATTCAGTGTAGGCTGAAAACACCCAAAAGGGATTAGCAATGTTTTAATTGCATAATTCAGTATTGTATATACATTACCTTTTATCAAAGCCATTTTGCAGAACAAATATTACCTTCTTATGGCTTTTAGAATTCCTAAGAGGTTGGTTGCAAAGCTGTAAACTAGAATTACAAGAGAGAACTTTATTAAGGTTGCAGAGCAAATAGTGATTTAAATAGGAATAGAATCCAGCAAAGTCTAGGCAGTCTCTCTCTCTCTCTCTCTCTCTCTCTCTCTCTCTCTCTCTCCCTCTCTCACTCTCTCTCTCTGTCTCTCTCACTCTTATTTTTCAGAGAAGGATAGAGTACTGACCTTGCATCATTATATTATGTGTAGAAGCTTAGCCCCTTGTGTCATTCCTTCTATTTCATTTAGAAATATAAAGAAACTTCAGGGTAAAGGTTGTAATGAATGGAGATGTAGAATATATGAAAACAAATTTATATGGCTATGTTTTCACTCTAAGTGTGACAGAGAAATTTCTCTTTGGTGGCAAAAGATCTTCCCACTCTAAGCTTCAGTTGCTTAGTTCTCATGAGAGGAAGTTGAGTGGAAAATTTCCCATGCAGGTAAGTTCGTTCTTGGACTTGCCTCTCTTTCTCATATGTTAATGGTGGTGGGCATGTTCATCAAGTAAAAGATGCATCCATTTTTGCAAGTACCAGAAGAAGTCTATAAATATGTTTATTAAGATATCTACAAATAACCTTGTTTTCTTTCTTAACCCTCAGGAGACCTTGGCCAGGACAGCTCAGATGACAATCTCAGCGGGACTCACGGCCCACCCCTCACATCAGATGCATCCTTTTGGTCAGATTATCAGGATGAGGGTGAGTGTCATCCTGCTGGGTTTTGGGTACCTGTGCTTTATTACCTTTTGTTTTGCCATCTTTGCCTTTTGTCATTTTGTGTCCAGCAGCCTTCAGTGGTTTTCTGTATTGGTAATCACTAATTTGCAAACAACAACTATTTGCTTCATTGTGGTGCTGACCCTCCTGGGTAATTCAATGCTCCTGAAGTTAATGTATTTAGGGAAACACTAATTCCATACTGGAGCAGGAAGACATCGTTGTTGATCTTTTTATAAAAACAGTAGCTCACAAGCTATGAGGGCGTTTAAGATCGCAGGGCCCAGATTTCCCATACCTTTGGGTCTCTCAGCTTCACTGGAATGTAGAAGAATTGGAACTGTCACTCAAAGTCAATGGGGTCATTTATTTATTGTGGGTCATTTGAGACCCCTGAGCCTGTTATGTTATGTTATCTCACCTGTGGTCATTTACGCCTGACCAAATTGGTATCGTTCAAGGGAAAGCGACATGAACCAAATGCAAGTGAAGCCCCGTGCAAATCTTCCCAGAGTATCCATTTTATCTAGTTCTTGGGAATAGTAGGAGTTAAAGAACTTCACTGTCACAAGCATTCTTATTTTATTTATTTTTAAACCTATTTTATTTATTATTTTTATTGTGTGTATTGCCTGCATGTGTGTAAGTGCACCCGTGTCATGCAATGCCTGCAGAGGTCAGAAGAGGGCATCAGATTCCCCTGGTACTGGAGTTGTGGGTGGTTGTTAACTGCCATGTGGGTGCTGGGAATTGAACCTGGGTCCTCTGCAAGAGCAGCCAGCGCTCTTAACCCCTGAGCCATCTCTCCAGCCCCCAACATTCTTATTTTTTTAAAAAAATACAATAACATGTAACAATGAAATGCAAAATTGACATGAATTTTTAAGATGCACGAATATGAAGACTGTGGCCTAGTGGCTGCCAGTTTCTGGTGCAGGCTCAGATTTCCCAAGGGTGGGAGATTGCTGTGCTGGCCTGGCATCCGGCCATGAGAGCAGAAGGTTTGATCATCCCAGTGTGCACTGTGTTCTTATCAAATTCCATCATGCCTTTCCAGGAGGAGGAAAAGGTAGAGATGCTACTAAACTGGATATTAAATTGGAAATTTATTATACTCTAAGGGATTGGATGAAATGAGTAAATTATTCCTTATTTCTCTTTATTAATCTGTAATCTTTCCATTTCTTTTTCTCCTAAATTTCAAGAATGCACAGTCCCTATTTTCTTCTATATTTTACCTATTCATTAAGTACTCTTTCATTTCATTTTGATGAGTCATATTTTTCCCTCTTCCCTTGAATTGATAACTTTCACCTCAGAACAATAGATCAATTCCCATAGAAACTTTTGCTTGAGCTTTGGATACCAGCAAAATGAGTAAGACTCATGTGTTAAAGGTTGGTAAGATCTATATTGGTTCTGGTATTTCACTAAAAATACTGTTTGAGTTGAAAGCTTAATAATTACCTTGGTAGCTGATTAATAATTGTAGAAAATTAACAGTGCAAATCCTGAAGAAACCAACCCTCCATCTGGTTTTGATTAATCTAATGCTTGACAGAATCAGAACAATAGTGCTTCATTAAATCGTAGGTCACTTATTTGGTGTTTCTAGTTTCCCAAAATATAGATGAGAACACAGTAAGTAAGCCAGAAAGACCCCTAAGTAGATGTCACTGAATTCTGAGTCAACACTTGGGTTTTTATTCTGTAGAATGGACCGGAAACCCTCATTGGAGGAAATCTTCTTATACATTTCTGATGATTGCAACGTTTTGGTTTCTCAGCCCACAGCAAAGCTTCAAATTAGAAGGAATACTGTGAACTGGGGGCTGAGGCAGGAGGATCTTGAGTTCTAGGCTAGCCTGGCTATAGCGAGACCCTCAAAAACACAAAAACAGGGGAGGAGGAGGAAAAGGAGTGTGGGGGGTGAGAAGAACATTGAAAATGCATCAACTAGAATGTATTACAGTAATCGTCAGAAGCTAACTAAAACCATGGAAATAAAACCTAGAGGTTAGGAATGTAGCTCTGTGGTAGAACACTTGTCTAGAAATATGCAATTTTTGAGTTTGATCCTCAGTACAACAAAACAAACAAACAAATCCTTAAAATAAATAGAATAAGCAAAGAAGATAAGATCTATAAATAAAACTTTGATAGAGATTTGTAAAACAAAAACATAGTCTGAGAGTTACTTGTATTACAGAGTGAAAGGCCCACGTTCTCCCCGAAGAGCTTAGTACCTGAATAAATCAAAACTTTTAAAGCTAACATTTACTGAGCACTGACTGTGTGCCTTGCGTTTGTGTTCTAAGTACTTGGATGTATTATTAATCCTCACAACAGCCCTGAGAGATAGATTAGCCTCATTTTACAGATGAAAAAACTGAGACCCAGGGGAGTTAACTGACCTAAGATCACCCCATCACTATCTAGTAGTATCAGGGTTTGTATCTGTGCAGTTCAATTGTAGAACTCTGTTTTTAATCACTCTACTGTTACCACTATCCTATCTAAGTTATCAAAAAAGATGGATTTATCTTCCAGATATTTTGGCTCCGATTATATGAACATTACACTTAAAATATTTTCATTAGGAGTTAGAGAGATGTCTCACTGGGTAATGTGCTTGCTGTGAGAAATGAGGACCTAAGTTCAGATTGTCAGTGCTCACATAAAAAGCTGATGGGAACATGTGCCTGTAACTTGAGTGCTGGGAGGTGGAACTAGGGAAATCTTGGGGACCTGCTTGTCATCCAATCTTGCTGAATCAGTGAGTTCTAAGTTCAGTGAGAGACCCTGTCTCAAAAAATAAGGTGAGAAGTGATTGAAGGAGATACCTGATATCAACCTCAGGCCTAAACACACACACACACACACACACACGCATGCACGCATGCATGCATGCATGCACACACGTACATATGCACACACATACACCATATACATCCAAATATTTTTGTTGAAATAGTTGAATTTACAAGATTTGTGTTGATGGAGCTGGGAGTATCGTTCATGGTGAAGCACTTGCCTAGCATGCATGAGACCTTGGGTTGCATCCTCAGCCCTGAAAAGAAAGAATCATGTTGAAAGAAGGAAACTTTGTATTTGGAAAACTTTAAGGTGAAAAGTTTTGTTCACAGAGGTCCCTCAAAGGAGAGAAGTTAATTTTATTAGTAATATTAAATTCTTTTTTTTTTTTTTTTTGGTCTTTTTGAGACAGGGTCTCCCTGTAGCCCCAGCTGGCCTGGAACTCACTATGTAGACCAGGCTGGCCTTGAACTCACAGAGATCTGCCTGCCTTTGCCTCCAGTGCTGGGATTAAAGGCGTGCACCACCATGTCTGGCTTACGTACTCTTTTTTAAAAAAGAAAGTGTTTTATAAACAGGGTACAGTGATTACTTCTGGGGAAAAATTATTGTAGAAGAAATAAAAAGTCTGTAATAATGTGTTACATATATATGATTATATACCTGAGATTGTTGGAGGCCAGAAAAAGTTGTGTGTAACTACATGCTGGAAAGGTAAAGATGTGTTGGCATCTTGCAGAATAACAATAATAAATAACCAAAGAAACTGTTATTGATAAATTTACTGCACAGTTGATCTAAAAGTAGTTGCAAACAATAGTTGCTATTTTTTAAAAATATATTTTATTTTTATTTTATGTGTATGCATGTATTGCCTGCATGTAGGTAAGTGCACCCGTGTCGTGCAATGCCCGCAGAGAACAGAAGAGGCTGTTTGATACCCTGAAACTGGAGTTACGGACAGTTGTTAGCTGTCATGTGGGTGCTGGGAATGGAACCTGGGTCCTCTGCAAGAGCAGTCAGTGCTCTTAACTGCTGAGCCACCTCTCCAGCCCTAATAGTTGCTATTTTTAACCCCATATTTTTTCTGAAAGGTGTGTTAAAAAATATAAAGAATATGCTGGAATTGTTTTTTATTTGTTCATTTGAGGCAGAGTCTCTCTGTATCCCCAGCTGGTCTCTGGATCTCACAGAGACCTGCCTGCCTCTGCCTCCTGAGTAATGGGATTAAAGGCTTGTGCAACCATGCCCAGCTCTTTGGAATTGGTTTTTAACATGGCTACTTTTAGTACTTTTCATTTTTAAGTTTCTCTGCTTTTTATTCCTGAATGTAAGTCACTGTTGAATCTATGATTGTGAATGACAGGACTTGGTGTACAGAACACTTGCTTAGTGTGCACAAGGCTGTGATTCAACCCCCAGCACTAGAAATAAAATACATTACGTGTGACAATTGCCCTGCTCTTGTTAATCACTGTGGGTTTAAATATTATTTTTAAATTACTACTATTATTTTGCGGTGCTAGAGATTAAACATTGAGCCTTACACAATCTAGGCCAGTGTTCTACCACTGAGATAGCTCTCTGACTCTTTTTCAATAATGGGGAAGATACATTAGAACTGAATATAACTATTTTGGAATTGTAACATGAAAATGAAGATTTAGAGCTAGGCGTGGTGGTGCAAGTCTCTGATCTTACCTGGAAGAGAGAGGCAGGGGGATCAGAGTTAAGATTATCCTCAACTACATAGGGAGTTCGAGGCTAGCCTAGGCTATATGAGACCCTGTCTCAAGGGTAAAAACAAAGATGGTGACCTTTGTCTGCCTACCATGTAGGTATGTTGCAAGGAAAGAAAAAGATTTAATTTATTGACTAGATTTTTGAAGATGAAATTTAAGTTTGTGTTTAAATTTTACTGTACCAAAGTTAGAGTTATAGAATCTAAGAGTTAGAAGGGATGATGAAGATCCTTCTGGTGGGTTAGCTTATTTCATTCTTACACCAGCTCATTGGGAAAAGTGACCTCCATTTTGCAGATAAAGAAATGAGGTTTAGAGAAGGTAAGTGAGTTGGGCATGGACAGTACATGAAGGGATCAGGGCCCTGCTGACCCCTTAGCAGCCCGTTCTTTCAGCTTTCCAACTCACTTTCCTTATTACTTCGTT